GCTGCTTGTTGTCTTGTGGCCCAATATCACTGAACATCCTTTGCAGTGAGCTTCCATGTAGCTTCACAAATTAGGCAAAAACTTTGTTAGGCACAGGTATTTCTCCTATAACGCGATAGTTGCGTTTTTGTGTGACCTCATGCTATAGAAAATTGCCTGATGGGGAAATCACTGTAGAAAATCTCTATACTGTACAGTAGAAAGTTTGCGTTATCCAAACAGCATCCACTATTCATCAATCACGTTACAGCCAATTTGTGGTAACGAAACATGCGTTATAGCAGAAATACCTGTAGTTCACAAATCCAACAAATTGTTGCATCATTTTCACATCTTTCGATTGCCGCGTCACTGCTGTGCCTGTCATCTTATCATAATCAGAGTAAAACCCCTGTGTTGTCAGGATATGACCGATGCACTTGACTCAGGATCTTCAGTTACATTTTTTCTTGTTCAGGATCAGATTCATCTAATGAGTTCTTTATCACAGTCTCACTAAGTTCAATTTGTGGTTTGTAATGGCTTCTTCCATCATATCTACACACCTAGAAACTAGCCAATGTTGACCATCACTTGCATTTCTGGAAGAGTGCTAACTATCTCGTATTGTCTGCACTGATTCTCTGGCAGAGCAGTGGAAATGCCAAAAAGCTTGTGCAACTATCTGTATCTCCCAAATGAGACTGTAGAATGCAGAATGCAGTCAGCAAACTGCTGCTTTCAAACAATTTCACTTGCCCGTAACCATCTTTTGCATCTAGGTTTGTAAAGACCTTTTGTTTTGCAAGTCACAGCAATATTTCTTCTAGGATTGACATTGAGTTGTGAGATCTCCTCAAAGCTTTATTAAGATCCTTTTGGATCTATAAATATTCTCAACTTTCCAAACTTTTTCATGCTATCATGCTAATTCAATCTATAGGATTTTGTTGATTATTTCTTCTTTTCAAGTCCTCTATCCTGTTTTTCAGGACTTGAAGGCAGCTGAATCTCTCCACAGCAAATTCAATCTCACACTCTCATTTATGCAGAGATGATATTCACCAGGAAGACGTCCAAGAACTGTAAAAACACCTTTGCAATGTTTTAGGATTTTTTTTCAGCCTGATGCTCAATGAAATGCTACAAATCTCTTCTGGTAAATGCAGGATTATTAGTCCAAGCTTTGGATTTGGTCAGCTGAGATAAATGGATTTTCCCTAGTGTCTACTATCTGATTCCTCTCATTGTATTGGGTTCTCAGTTTTGTTTGTCCACTTGTGATGAATATCATTGCATCACATAGCCTCAATTTTACCTTTGATGGTTTCGTTTTTGGGCCACCACTCTTTGCACAGCTTCACCTCATGAAACTCAAGATGTTGTACAAAAGACTGGAATCTATCTGGCATTATATTCACTTGATGTTCTCATGCGGTCATCATCCTGACAATCACAAACCACATACCACCTCAAGACTGGACTGAGTCAACCCTGTTCTACAGTATAAAAGGATTCATCAATCATTGCCTATCATTTTTACAGAAGTTATCTTTACAGATTTACTTTGCTTCTTTCCAGTAAAGCATTTGCATGCAAAATTTCTTTAGCATCTTGCAGCTAGAGCACTGCTTTCTCTATGTTGAGCTTTTTGCTGGCCCTTCTAGAAATATTTCTTTTTTTCCTTTTGTTTTGTCCTTGTTAGGCCTGGGCTATCTCACAGAATAGCACAAAATCTCAGAAATTCTTCCAATGATGCTCCCTAGCTGATAATTGACAACAATGGAGCTCCTGCATAAGTTGTCAGCTTTCTCGAGAGTAAGTTTCTCTTCTCTCAGCAGACCTGTTTTCAAGTTGGATGTCTCATTGCTAAAACAATTCTATCTCTGATATGATCATCTTTTAGTTGCCCAAACCCTCAAGATTCAGCACAATGTTTCCGTCAAGTCACCAACTGCTAAATGCTCTTCATCACCTCTTGAGCGTTACCGTTTATAAAGGACATCAGTGAAGATTTCAAAATGGTCTTTGAGGCCTTCACAATTCATCCAGCCAGGCTTTTCTGCTCCTCAGCGATGTCCAGGGTACACAGAAACATAGGAAATAGGAGCAGGAGTAGGCCATTTGGTCCTTTGAACCTGTTCTGCCATTCAATAAGATCACAGCTGATCATCCCATTCCTGCTTTCTTCTCAAACCCTTTGATTCCTTTATTCCTAAGAATTATATCCAACTCCTCTTGAAAACAACAACACTTTCAATATAATTCAGGCACTCTTTCTCTAGCTACTCTTTACTTGTTACTCTTGTTTGTTCCAATTTTCTGTTTATCTCTGTGGCTGCCTCACAGTTTGCCATTGAGACTGAAAGAAGTTCCAACTCTGCCTCAAATCATCTTGCATCTCCACAGGAGCAGGGACTGAAATGTTTCAAGCCATACTGAATCAATCAAGCTTGCAGAATGAAGCTTCAAATTATTCAGCTGCGTTTTTTTACAGTATCTGGCTGATCTGCAGCTCTCAAAATGCACATAGTGTCAGCTGCACACTCCTGACATCATTTTCTGTATGGAGCTTTAATGGCTTCTGCTATTGTTACTCAATACAGAATGCATTAATATCAGAGGTTACATGAATATTGCAGATTACAGTGTATAAATGCATTTATCCAAACATTTGATTCAAAACTTGTACAAAGAATCAAAGTTCACACATCTTTATGCTTAGTAACGTGCATTTTAAATTCTGCATTAGATTACTTCATTTCTTACATGGTTAGTCAGCCTGTTTGGTCACCACTTCCATAGAAGAATGTGTAGATCAGGTGATTTCTCCCCAGAACAGAGGGACATAGTCAAAGTGTGAGAGCTGCTGTGGTGCGGTGGTAGTGCCTCTGCCTCTGAGCTAGGAGGCCCAGGTTCAAGTCTTACCTGCTCCAGAGGTGTGCAATAACCTTACTGAACAGGCAATGAGCAAATGAACCTGTCTCTCTGACAACAGGAGCTACCTCTGAGATAACAAGGTGTAGAGCTGGATGAACACGGCAGGCCAAGCAGCATCAGAGGAGCAGGAAGGCTGACATTTCGGGCCTCGACCCTTCTTCAGAAATGGGGGAGGGGAAGGGGGTTCTGAAATAAATAGGGAGAGAAGGGGAGGTGGATAGAAGATGGATAGAGGAGAAGATAGGTGGAGAGCAGACAGACAGGTCAAAGAGGCGGGGATGGAGCCAGTAAAGGTGAGTGGGGTGGTAGGGAGGAGATAGGTCAGTCCAGGGAGGACGGACAGGTCAAGGGGGCGGGATGAGGTTAGGAGGTAGGTGATGGGGGTGGGGTTTGAGGTGGGAGGAGGGGATAGGTTGGAGGAAGGACAGGTTAGGGAGGCGGGGACAGACTGGGCTAGTTTTGGGATGCAGTGGGGGGAGCCCTCCCCCTACCATCTCCTCTATCCATCTTCTATCCACCTCCCCCTCTCTCCCTATTTATTTCAGAACCCCCTTCCCCTCCCCCATTTCTGAAGAAGGGTCTAGGCCCAAAACATCAGCCTTCCTGCTCCTCTGATGCTGTTTGGCCTGCTGTGTTCATCCAGCTCTACACCTTGTTATCTCAGATTCTCCAGCATCTGCAGTTCCTACTATCTCAGGAGCTACCTTCGCTTGCCTGCCTGTTTCTCAGCAGGATGTTAGCCAGGAAGGTTTCATTAGAAAAAGCACAAGTAAAAATTGTCAGCAAGCTGAATGGGCAAAAGAGTAATTCACCATGCGAAAAAATTCCTTGGAGTGGTTTAAAGCTTGCTGTGGGCACTAGAAATGCACAGGAATACATAACGTAATTCCTAAGGAAACCATCAATCCAGGAAATCAGTACAGCAAGTCAGCATCCAAAAGCAAAAGAAGAATAATATTTTGAGTCTTGAGTAATGTGTCATTTAGTGCCAGCGTTGCAAGCAGATCTGCTGTGCTGTAGCTCCTGGCAAGTCAGATGGTTTTACTAGTTTACAATGACAGAAACCTTGTACTATAGAGTAGACAACCGATTCATCTGCTGTAAAAAGAACAGGAAATTCTGGAAATACTGGGAAGGTTTAGCAGGATCTGTGGGGATACAGAGTTAACATTTCACGCCAGTAATCTTCCTGTAATCAGTGAGGATGAGAGGTCACAGACCTGAAATGTTAAGTTGGGTTTCTCTCTTCACCAATTCTGCCAGGTCTGCTGAATATTTCTGGACTCTTCTGTTTGATTTCAGATTTCCAGCATCCTCAATATTTTGCTAAAAGAAGGCAAGAAATCAATGTTTCTTTTTTATCTTGCACTCATCAGGACTAAGATACAAGGAACAGATTTGATAAAAGAAAAAGAGAACGCCAATTTATGCAGAAGACGGTGCTAATTGGTTGGATCATGGTTGATAGGGAGATGCACAGGAAGAGTTAACTGTCAATATTAGTTCTCAGAGCAGGTAGGAGGAGGCTGATTGATCAGGAGTCTGTCAAGAGAATGCAGCAGAGATTGCTAATCTCCATGAACTCTTCTTTTTTGCACTGAAAAAGGTGCAATGTACATGCGGATTTTGCTTTTTCTTTGCCCTTATATTCTTCAGTTTCTAAGGTATTGAAGGGGTCTGTAAATTTATAATCTGAGTATAATTACTAGCAGTCAACTTAGCCTGAAGTCAGTGACAGTTTCATTATTGTTTAAGTGAGGGAAGATTTCTGATCCGAAAGTGTTTAGAATTATCAGATTCAGAAAAGTAGCATGAAATATCTGTCATTTTTCATTGCTTTAAATATTTAGACAAATGCTCTCCAAATTTTTATACAAGAGAGTTAGACGTAATTTTACTCTCAAAAACATCAACCGATATAAACTGAAACCAGAGAAAAAAAAATTTTGCTTTTTCCTAACAAAATAAAACATACAACAGAGGAACCTTCTATGGTTTTTAACTGCAACCACTTAAATGCCTAACACAGCATCACTGGTGATCTGAGCATGCTTGTAAAAAATAAAGCTAAATGAACTCACTGCAGACTGTTCCTTCATCTTCAGCATTGCTGCAGTCGTTGTTGAAATCACAGAGTTGCCTTAGTTTAATAGATACCCCATTCTGACAAGTGAACGATCCCTCGAGTGTTGTCCTAGAGCCTGTCAGAGGACCTAAAATATAACCACAAATGGAATTGTACATAAAATGCATTTTATCCTGTATCATAACATGAGTGATTGAAAGGTCTTTATTGTACTGCTTCTATGCAGTAAGATGATTACTCCAAGGTTGCCTTTGAGAGGCCAAAAAAAAACCACAGCTTCTCACTACATACATAGTTACTGATCACATTTATCCAGGAAACCTAAAAGAAAGGGAAAACAAATTGTGTAGATAATGAATCACTGTGGTTAATGTTGTTAAGGCAGCTTCAAAATAAGATGACAGTATATGCACTGCTGGAAATCATATGAATTTTAAACAGTGAGAGACAAAAAACAAAATCCGAAAGAACTGTGGATGCTGTAAATCAGGAACAAAAACAAAGTTGCTGGAAAAGCTCAGCAGGTCTGGCAGCATCCGTGAAGAAAAAAATCAGACTTAACATTTCGGGTCTGGTGGTCCTTCCTCAGAATAGATGGATGATGAGAGTAATAACTTGCATTGATGTATAAGGCGGGTTTGATGGTAGAGGCCACTTTATGGTTTGGGAGGGTTTTTTTTATTTTTTTCATTGAATCCCTACAGTGTGGAAACTGGTCCTTTGGCTCAACAAGTCCACACCGACCCTCGGAGCATCCCACTCAGAGCCATCCCCCTATAACCCACCTAATCTACACATTCCCGAATACTACGGGCAATTTAGCATGGCCAATCCACCTAGCCTGCACATCTTTGGACTGTGGGAGGAAACCGGAGCACCCAGAGGAAACCCATGCAGATGTGGGGAGAATGTGCAAACGCCACACAGACAGTCACCTGAGGGTGGAATCGAACCCAGGTCCCTGGTGCTGTGAGGCCACCGTGCTACCCATAAAATTGAAATTCCACCAGCTGTCATGGAGGGATTTGAACCCATACCCCTGCAGTGTTTGGCCAGGACCTCTGGTTTACTAGCTCAGTGACATTACCAGTACACCACCATTTCTCATAGCTTTGCATGGAACTATATGCCCAGAATTAGTTTGGGTCAGAAAGGCCCAATGTGGAACCCATTGCCACAGAGGACTGTGGAGGCCAAGTCATTGAGTGAATTGAAGACAAAGATAGATAAGTTCTTGATTAGTAAGGGGATCAAAGGTCATAGGAACAAGGTAGAAGAAAGGGGTTAAGAAACATATTGGCCATGATTAAATGGTGGAGCAGACTCCTATTTCTGCTCTCATGTCTTTTGTTCTTATGGATTACCTTCCTGACCCACTGTTAAGTGAGGGTGTTCAGATTGGCCTCATTCTGGCACCACTAGCACCAATCCAGCTATCGGTTAAGCCTCACCACATGCTCACAAAAAAAATCTGGTGGGGTGGCTTATCAGCTCCTGGAGGGTGGAAGAGATTCTTTATTTAAAGGCACATATTGCTTGATAAATGGATCAAGATCAGGCCCACTGAGCAGAAGCCCTCTCCGCGCCCACAACCACTTTCCTGCATCACTCACCTCTTCCTGGTTCCTTCTTAAACCTGGATCTTTGGGTGAGTGTCATTCCAGCAGCAGCCATCACCTTCTCATGGCACTGCTGTTCAATAGGGCTGTCAGTCTCAGATTGGCTGTCAACTTTAAGCAGGCTAGACTCTACACCCGGGGTTCTTGATCCCAGGATGAGACCCACCGCTTGTGTGTTAAGTGTCTGTATGGCACAAGATGTGACAAGCCTTATAAACAACTGCACCTCCCAGTCGCGAACCATTTCAACTCCCCCTCCCAGTCCTCACTCGACATGTCCATCCTGGGCCTCCTGCAGTGCCACAACGATGCCACCTGAAGGTTGCAGGAACAGCAACTCATATTCCGCTTGGGAACCCTGCAGCCCAATGGTATCAATGTGGATTTCACAAGCTTCAAAATCTCCCCTCCCCCTACTGCATCCCAAAACCAGCCCGGCTCATCCCCGCCTCCCTAACCTGTTCTTCCTCCCACCTATCCCCTCCTCCCACCTCAAGCCGCACCCCCATTTCCTACCTACTAACCTCATCCCGCCCCCTTGACCTGTCCGTCCTCCCTGGACTGACCTATCTCCTCCCTACCTCCCCACCTACACTCACCTTTATTGGCTCCATCCCCACCTCTTTGACCTGTCTGTTTCCTCTCCACCTATCTTCTCCTCTATCCATCTTCTATCTGCCTCCCCCTCTCTCCCTATTTATTTCAGAACCCCCTTCCCCTCCCCCATTTCTGACGAAGGGTTTAGGCCCGAAACGTCAGCTTTCCTGCTCCTATGATGCTGCTTGGCCTGCTGTGTTCATCCAGATCTACACCTTGTTAACACAGAGGCCTTGTCAGCTCTCCAGCCAGTGGCTGAGACCACTGTCACCTCCATGACATTTCTGTCCACAACATCAAACCAAGAAAACTGACACCAGATGCTTCACAAAAACTTACAGACATTCTGGAGTTCTGCCAAAAAATAACAGATGAGCAAGGGTGAAAGAGATGAATTTCGAAAGTGGCTGTGGGTTAGTAAAGAGGTTTAAAGGAAGGAATTCCAGCAAAATAACATCTTGTTTGAATCTTATGAACCATTCTTACATAATGTTTGCTGAGATGGGTAGGAAAATACATTGTGAAAAGGAAGTGAAGAAGCTGCAGACTAGTATTGATAGGTTGCAAGTGGGCAAAAATCTGGCAATAAACTGTAATGTGGAAAATGTGAAATTTTTCACTTTGGGCAGAAAAATATTAAAGCAGAGTATTATCCAAATGGAGAACAATTTCAGAAACCCACTGTGCAGAGGGATCTAGTTGTTTCAGTGTATGAGCCATAAAAAGTTAGCATGCAGATACAGCAAGTAATTAAGACTGATGGGATGTGATTTTTTATTATGAAAGGAATTGACTATAAATGTAAGGATATTATGCTTCAGGTATACACAGCATCAATAAGACCATATCTCAAATATTGAGTGCAGTTTTGTTTAAGGAAAAATGTAAATGTATTGGAGGCACTTCAAAGGAGGTTTACCAGACTGATACCTAGAACGAGTGGGTTGTCTTTCGAGGTGTGGTTGAACAGACTGAGCTTGTTTTCAATAGAGTTTCGAAGATTGAGTGGTGATTTCATTGAAGTATATAAAATTTGGAATATTGTGACAAGTTAGATGTGAAACTAATACTTCTCTTGTGGGTGACTCCAGATCCGGGGGTTGGGGGAGGGGTATAATTTAAAAATTAGAGGTCACCGTTTAAGGATAGAGATAAGGAGAATTTATTCTTTCTCTCAGAGTGTGAGTCACTTTGGAACTCTGCCTCAGCTGGTGGTGGAAGCAGAGTCATTGAATATTTTTAAGATGGAGGGAGTTTAATTTTTGTCAGGCAGGGAATCAAAGGTTAGCGGGAAGAGATGAGAATGTGGAATTCAAAATGCAAACAATTAGCTGTAATCTTCTTCCATGGTGAAAGACAAATGGACTATTTTTGCTCCTAATTAGTATCTTCAAATGTTTGTTGCCATTTTTAAAATGTTAGTAAGGTTTGTTTGGTTTATAAATAAGTCTAAGATTTATCAGGATTGGAAACAATTTATTGGTATTAGTAACATTTCTTAGCAGCAGTAAGGTTTATTAGCAGTAACAAGGTTATTAATTAAAAATTGAATGGCAGGGCTACTCCAACCTTGAGAGAGTGTACCCTGTGCTAACTACAGGATGCTCATCATGTTCTAAATGATCATTTATGCGGGAAATGTCATCAGTTGCAGTAGCATGAGCTCCAGGTTTCACAACTTAAGCAGCAGCTGGCATCACTGCAGTACATCTGTGAGACTGACAGCTATGTGGTAGCATGTTTCTAGACATCATCTCCCCACAGCTTACCACAGAATCACAGAACAGTTACAATGCAAAATGAGGCCTTTGGCCCATTGTGATAGCACTGGTTCTCACAGCATTTTGACTTTATGCTAATCTCCAGCCTTTTCACCACAACCCTGCGCCTTGTTTCTGTTTCAATGCCTCAAGTGAATGCCCCAATTGAACACACCTCCACTACACTTCCAAGCTGTGCCCGGCAGGTCCTAACTACTCATTGTGTTAAAAAGCTTTTTTCACCTCACATTTGCTTCTTTTGCAAAACACTTCCGTATTCCCTCTAATTCTTGATCTGTTTATGAGTGAGAACAGTTTTTGTTTACTCCATCCACACCCCTCAGAATTTTAAAACTTCTATCAAATCTCCTCTTCGAAGAAAATAGTTTCAACTTCCCAACCTTTCCTCATAACTGAAGTGTCTCATTTGCAAAACTATTTCTGTAAATCTCTTCTGCAGTCTCTCAAATAAATTCACATCTTTCCTATAGTGTAGCACCTATAAGTACAACCAATTCTCTAACTGAGATCTAACAATAAATAAAAACTGAAAGAACTGTGGATGCTGTAAATCAGAAACAAAGACAGAAATTGCTGGAAAAGCTCAGCACTTCTGGCAGCCTCTGTGAAGAGAAATCAGAGTTTCGGCTCCAATGACCCTTCCTCAGAACACGTGTGTGTGTGAGATGTGTTTTGTAGAAGTTCATAACAGCTTTCCTACTCTGGCACTCTTATGCCTGTACTGTTGAAACCTAGAATACCATATTCTTTACTTTATAGCTTTCAATCTCTATGGCCACCTTTAACCGTATATGTGCATATACACCCAGGTCTCACTTGTCCTGCACATGCATTAGAATTGTACCCTTCATCATATTCCGTCTTTCCATGATCTTTGTACCAAAATGCATCACCTTATACTTCTTCAATTTGATATTCATCTGTTACCCACTCCACCAACTTGTCAATGTCCTTTTTAAGTTCTACATAGTCCTCCCTACAGTTTCCAATTCTTCCAAATTCTGTGTTGTCCGCAAAATTTGAAATTCTCCTATGTCCAATGCCCAGATCATTTATATATAAATCAAGGGTCCCAAAGTCAACCCAATGGAACACCATAATAAACGTTCTTTTACTGCAAAAAATACCCA